GCCAGGAGCCGAGGATCCCAAGCTTGGTATGGCAGAGGGGTGAGCAGCCCCGGCCCTCAACCCTCCAGAGCTTGGGCACCCCAGAGCCCCCTTTGCTCGCAGCTCCAGCAGCCCTGCCCCAGCCCCAGCTCCTCTCTTCCCCTCCACAGCCACCCTTGCTGCACTGGCTGGAGCACCAGGCCATGATCAACCTGCTTTCGGCCGGAGAGGGGACGTGGGAGCAATGTTCCAGGCTCCTGAGCTCACACTACAGCCCAGGCACAGAATATCGCTGCAGAGAACATTATCAGCCCCACCGAGTAAAGGAAAACCCCAACACTCACAATGACCATCTCCATGCTTCCTGGTGCACCCGGCTGCAGCGTGCCCCGGCTCTCCAGAGGCAGCCTCTGCAAAGGAGCACGAGCTGAAAGCCACCCATGCCCAGCCAAGCACCATCCCACCCAGAGGTCGGCCTGGCTCTGCCCCTCGCTCCTGCTGCTTCAGGTCACTTCCCATTTCACTGAAGTGATGGCCTCCATTTCCAAGGATGCTTGAAGGGACCCCGAACACAGACACAAAGCCACGTTCCTGATGTTGCTGCTAACTCACAAACGCAGCCAGCGAGTCCCAGACAGGATCTTCACCCAGCGTCCGCAGCCCCTCCTCAGGGGAGGGCAGGCTCCTAGGCTCGCTGTGCAGGCTGCACCTGGACGGGGCTCCAGCAGGGACCAAGCAGCTTCTAACTAAAAGGACATCAAGTTCTTCAAGCAATTCCTGCTAAGGTTGGGAAGAGGAACTGGGCAGCTCTGCGCCCGAAGAGCTTGGAGGGTCGGACTGCTGATATTTATCATTCAAGGCAGTTGCCTGCAGGGGTGCACAAACCAACCCAGACAAGCACACTGCCATGCAGGGAGCACGGAGGGACCTGGGAACCAGGCGAGCTGATGGACCACCTCAAGCCCCAGCACTGATGTGAGCTCACGAACGAAGCGGAGGATGGCAGGACAGCCTGGTCAGCTCTCTGTGAGCATAACCAGGGCTCCAAAACACCCCACACTGCGATGCTGTAGGACCAACTCCTCCACCCAGAGGGTCTGGCTACGTGACCACACCGACCTACCACAGAGCCACGACGACTCGACACACAAGCAGCAGTGACAGTTACTCAAACATCCGGGCAACATCAGCAGCTGTGGAAAGCACTGTCCCTTCCAACAGCCTGCCGTGGCCAGGCGCTTCACTTCAGGTCCCTGGCATCATGGTGAACCCACATGCTCTCAGCTCACCCCAGATGCAGACACAACTGCTGGGTCAACCCCAACCCACCTGGTCCCTGCCATGGCTTCAGTGTCCTCCGTGCAGCCTGAGAAAAGGCTGGAGCACCTCGCCATGGAGGTGGTGCCTGCTGTACGGGGCTGCAGAACAAGGTGGAGCCAGGCCCACCATCTCTCCCGCAAGCTAGGGATCTAGGGGACCTCAGGGCCCAGGGCCCGAGGTGAAAGAACACACAGACACCAACACTCAGTTAAGTTGTAGGAATTTATTTTAAATAACCTACAGTTGATTAAAAGGGAATTTATGATAAAAATAGAAGATACTTGTTGAGGAAAGGCTGCAGGAAATGGTCTTCGCACACACACTACGCTAACGATGCCTCTAAAACTAATGATTATAGCAAAAAAAGGTTTCACATTAAAATTCTGCTTTTTAATTTTTTAAAATTTTTTTACACAATTACAAAAGAAAAAAATAAAAGCCCTAAAATCTTGAATATTTTCCTTTTTGGACCGATGCTCATTTCCCTCGAAATTTATTGACCTGTGAAACTTCTTTTTACACAATAAAATCTTTCAAGTAAAAGAGGGGAGTAGGGCTTAGTAAAAAAGGGGGGGGGGCAGGAAAAGCAGCCTCACAAACACACAAAGTAGATTTGCTTGA